ATAGCCATCTCAAGAAAGAGATGTACCTGTGCAGTAGAATAGCAGATGAGGAATAAAGGAGGAAGCCGAATAACAGAAAGGGAAGGAAAGCTAGATATAAGCTGTAACCTTACGAGTAGGTGTAGATGTACGGAGTAAGTAGAGAAATAAGTGAAATGGCTGAATTCTAGAACCACTCCATAAATTTACCACTCCATAGATTTACCCTTTTCTCCACAGTGGAGACATTGGTAATTTCCCTCAAGCTATTATTAAGTTCATGATACTAGCACTGGCAGATATCATAACTGAAAATGGATGGGCCTGCATTGAGGCGGTCTCTGAAAGGATCCTCTTTTACTCCATATCGAATAGAGAAGAGAGGGTAGGTGATCAATCATCAATCCCTTTGTCATGATGTCAATATTGTAATAATTTCAAAGCCGTCATCTTGTCATGAGGAATATTCACAAATCTTCCTCTCCTGGTGATGAGTCGATTGAAAACGCATTGCCTCCACCACTCCCAGATTTCCTCGAATAAAAGACGAGGTCGAGGCCATTTTGTGGCTGTAGAATTGAAAGTATTGGAAGAACGTGTGCTTTGAAAAATTCTCGAGGTCAACGTGTACGGCCGCTGGCAAGAGAAATCCACTGTTTATAGTACCCGACCGAGTAGCATTCGGGGATTTTATACCCAATCGATGAAATGGGGGAACGTATCCAAGGAAGATTTTGGAAGGGTTGTGAGACGTTTTGACAATCAAAAATGGTATATCGGAAACAATTATCGATTGTGTTTGTGGTTGTTCTTGTAGCTGCTGAAGGATTTGTGTGAAATGATGACTGGGTGATAGATGTATTCGTGCTTGCCCATGTTTGCCAACTGTTATAAGTTGATCTTCATCTCAGAGCGAGTCCTAGATACGCAGGTATCATGACATGTATGATGGATTCATCCCACCATATGAGGTTGATATTTTGATCATTCAACGGCAAATAGGAAGACCCTCAATACCTGAGCTGAGTATGATATCTACCTACCTACCTAGGTAGTGCAGTCGATCCTTTGGGTCCATATACGGTCATACACATGAGTAATACTGTAAAATCTATCCACTCAAGAAGGGCAAAATGAAGCCTTTCAAGTCAAGTGTACTTCCTCTCTCATCATCCAATGTGGCGGGCGGTACAACGATTGGGACATCTCCTTCATAGTACAATAGTAGTACTACGAGGGATTCATTCATTGCAAGGTTGAGAAATGTCATAACCCTTGAAACTCTTCCGCGCCCCCTCAAAAACAGGTGGTGGATATCTCTGGGCTCGGCTATCATCGAGTTAAGACTGAAATAGCCATCTAATGCACCGGAACGTACCAGGTACATCTGCAATACTTCCACTACCGATCATAGATATAGCCATCTCACCTCCTCACCTTTTTTAAGCATTCGACTTCTGCAACTGCAACTGCATCTGTATCTGCAAACCCAACCCCAAATCAATATTAACTTAGATACTTGATATCTATCGATCTTTAAACTGTCTCATATACAACATACACAGCAATATTTAGTCACAATGGAGAAGTTCAAACGGCATTCCACCTATGGTAAAGCTACTTGTGAACCGATCACCCTGTCCAAAAGTAAGAGAGATGGTAATTGGCAGTCGGCGGCTCTCAAAAACTGCTTGCCAGCCGATGGTTCTATCCTCCATGATGAACATTCCAATATCTCAACAGGCAACAATATGGTGTCCTGGCCAAGTATGTATTCTCCCCTCTACGCTCTGCACCCTGCCATCTCATTAACGTTATCGCAGGTATCGCTAACCACGTCACACCACGATCCGCGAAACCGATAACAATCCCATATCTCCCCACGGAAATAATCAACCACATTATATCTCGGACTGACGACTTGAAATCATTGAAGAACTGGGCGCTAGTTAGCTGGGCATACAATGATATTGCCGAACGGATCCTTTGGTCAAATATCACCATCAATACCGCCCAATTTTACGATCCATCCTACCCCTCAGATGGACAAGACCCCCTTCGAATCCTACGCCATGAAAGCCACGAAAGACGAAATGACACACATTTACGGCCTCCGTGGATGAGAATGGGACGAGGAGAGCACCGAGTGCCTTCAATCGTTTCGAGGCTACCGAAGGTCAAAAACTTTGCTCTCAGAACAGTATGGGATGTCGACTCGAGAGATTTACCCCAAGGAGGTTCGAGAGAAGATTGGACGATTCGAGAGGTCTATGGGGACTTATTTCCTATGATGCAGAACCTTTATACCCTTCGAATCGATGGTGAAGTTAATAGAAAAACCTGGGATTTACTACTCGCATTACCATCGCTTCGAGAACTAAGGATATGGCGAACAACGACAGTTGACTCCCAAGCTCTGCTAGACAGAAACCATTCAGCAGAAGCTATTAGCCAACTTTCCCATAACGAGAAACAAGACTTGGTTGATAACATGGTATTGAATTTCCGAGGTTTATCAAGACTCACAACATTCGAGATTGGTTTGCTATCACCTTTGGAATCGGCAGCTTTAGGTGCTGAGGTCCGAGAAAGCAACCTCGAAGTCCTTCACATTGCTGTGACTCGTGATAATAGATCCTTTCACAATCAAGGACAATATACTCTGGCGAGATTCTGGGCGAGCCTTGTACCCAATGAGATTGATGAAAGTTCACCATTGATTCAAAATTACAACGTTGGCTTCCCCGCCTCCATGCGTGAGCTGGTCCTCGAAGATGATGCACACCTGTCAGTTCAACTTCCGTTTTAATATTCTTCCATACTAATTGTAAATTATAGTGTTATTGCTCCTCCGAAGATTGTCCTACAATCATTCCGCAGATGCAGACATAATTTGACCAGATTCTACTTCGACTTTTTAGATGAAACATTACTTTCCTTCGTCCTCAAAAGTTCTTCTGAGAAAGCCCCTCTCTTTCCTAGCCTAGCTCATCTTCATTTACAATGGCCCGAGTCTGAGAAACACTCATTCGAACACCCTCGCACCATGACCAAAGTTATGCTCGCCTTTATCGAATCGCACAAACCTACCCTTCAAAGTTTTCAACTCCTGAATGCAGCTGAAGATAATCGACTGCTAAAGTATGAAAATCCACTGAATAAAGCACTTAAAGGGTGGATGACAATCAAAGAGATTCGACTGGATTCGGAACATACTCCTGATCACTATGCCAATGTTCCTAGAGGACAAGAGTGGACTCGACCTGCAGATTTCCTGTCCGTTGATGGTGGGGGCTATTGGGGCGAAGATCTTCGCCGTGCTAGACTTGATCGATTTAACATTACTAACATAGACGTTGGCTTCAAATCATACCGCGCATGGCATAATATCAAAGTTCTAGTACTGAATCCTAAGTTATTATGGAATTATGGCCTTCTCCCTGATCCACACGATCAGTCTAGTCCTCGACTTAATTCACTGGTTCATGATCATCTTTTGGGCATGAAACATTTCGCAGAATCCGAATGTGAGAACAAAGAACTTGCAGAGAAAATTTCTCGGAAGATGGGACCGAATCTTCGTGTACTTTCGATTCGCGACTGCAGATTCTGGATTCCGAGTTACGGTAAACCAATCTGGCATCTCAGAGATGCTCTTGCAGATCCTGAACAAAGTCGACTGATGAAACATGTTTTGGATCAAAGAGACTGGGACTTTTTATCAGAAAGAGCTACTACCGATACTCAGGAAGCAGCCAATACTGCTACGTTTCTCAGGAACGACATATATTCTCCAAGTCAACCAACAGCAGGATCAATTCCACGTCCAGTATCCCGTGCCTCCATAATTAGTGACACTATCACTGAGCCAGATCTGGAACACGGCTCAGAAGACGAAGATGATGTGATGAACTCTGAGAGTGAGGATGAAGACGAAGTAATGAATTCTGGAAGTGAGGATGAAGATGAGGACGAAGACTATAGATCTACAGTATCGGAATTGGACGATGAGGCAGAGAGCATACAACCTGAGGCACAACTTGAGGCAAGCCAACTTACACACCCTCCAGTAGGTTTTACGGTTGAGGATGGCGCACATATGGCACAACTCCATGCAGTATATTCGCCAGAACCTGATACAGAGATGCCTTTGTACACGCATACAGAGGCGCCAAATCTTGATGCAGATATGGACTTGTTCACTCACACGGAGATGCCTTATTATATTCATTCTCATCCCGAGTTATGATAGGTCGCGCATTGCTGTTTGACCAAACAAAATATATAAAACGAACGACTACGAGGACATGAATATTGGGCGGTAAATATTAGCATTTATTCGCATGGGAATGGGATTGGGATTGGGCGCACTTAATAATCTTTACACATGGATGGCTTGGGGGGCGCTCGAGATAATCAGTAAGGCTTAGGAGTTTCGGTATACTATTGGAGTCTTTTTCAGATTCATCAGATACCCAATCATTTTCACAAATTCCAGATGGGACACTGATTTGCTGTCCCTGTCTATAGCGTCGTTTGTAGCTTCTGGCTAACCAGCGGATACATTCGCTTCTTGTATATAGCTTTTATTTGCATCTTCTGGTGTAGACTTTACAGTTTAGCGGCATTAATTTGCAAATCCAAAAGTTAATTACTTTATACAACGTTTGTTCGACTGATTTATGACGTGAGAAAAAATGTAGATGAGATTTACTTGCAAGCACAGTATCATCTATCAAACTATTCGCCAAATTTCGTCTGCTCCACGGTACCGCCTTTACCCCTTAATAGAAAGTTGATGAATAGAGGAGACGAGGCTTTTCGTACATACATATGAGAACGTGCTCTTTGATAACATGCACGCTGTGCTCTCTCTGGTTCTTTTTGTATTTTGAGTCATGCACTTACTACAATAGGTGATACATCCATCCTAAATCCTCAACAATAGCGATATCTCATAATCATTAATACCTCTCTAATCATGGTTCATAAACCCATTATTCTCTCGCTCTCCCATCCATCTACGAACCCCACAATCCCAAGGTCCAGCTCCCCTTCTCCCCAACACCACCCTTGAAAGCTCCTGGTCCCATACTACCTCTGTTTCCTGCACCCGTAGCTACACTCACCTCCGCATTACGATTTGCTCCGGAAAGACCATGCAGCATCCATGCTTCTCTATCGATGGAGCTTACAGCGGGGATCCTGAGTTGCGATAGTAGAGATGCGCCGGACCAGGCGCCGAGACTTTCGATGGCTCGTATGATGCCCTTTTCTTCGGGGATGGTGAATTTATCGGATCTGGCGTGAATGGTTGCGGCGATGGAGTCAGGTTCTGGGGATTGGTGGGCGGCGGGGATGATACGTGTGGGACGAGGTGCGGTTGGGGAGGCGGAGGAGGAGCGAGAGGAGCGAGAGGAGGGAGAGGAGGGAGAGGAGAGAGGAGGTGATGAGGGGGTTTCGATGGGGGAAGTGGGTGTTTGTGATTGGCGATAACGAGTAAGTTTAGGATTGCTTTTGTATTGCGAAACTGCTTTTCCTTGGACGGGATCCCAACCTCGTTCTTCGACAAGCGTATTGAGTTCTTCTAGAATTCGGGCTTTCAAGCCAATGATACTGGAGCCGCCGCCCACAAATACGATTCGGGACATGCAAACAGAGCGGAGGTCGACAGGAAGACGGAGGAGAGCTTGGTAGAGGAGGAGATGAATGGGGAGTTCTTCATCGTCGAGCTCGGGGGTAGGGAGATGGGTTGCGAGGAGTGCTTCTTCGCAGGGTTGGGCAAGTTGGGAAAAGGGAATGCGGAGTTTGCGTGGCGGGAGGGTGGATTTCAGTGGAATTGTGACTATATCATTGGAGTCTGGGACTTTGGTGATATTTAGCGATCGCATACCGGCTTGTAATTCGGGTTCTTCTTCTGCTAGTGGCGCAAGACCACTTTCGGGTGCGGGTTTGGGGACGAAATTTCGAGATGGTTTGCACCATGCCATTCGATTGACTATTTCTTCGCACTCTTCGAAACTTATAAATTCTTCCAAGGCCACATTTTCTTGGCCGTCTATTGACTCCTGCATCAATATTTTTGGGTCGAAAGATTCGGCCAACAGTGCGCGCATCGCTTGTCCTAACAACTTCGTCGCCCTTATAGATCTGTGGCTCGATACTTCTCGAAACTCATATATTCCAGTCACTATGGTTTCGTTCCAACCAATATCTACAATCATAGCAGCTCGTAGACCTGCAGCTACCGTCGTGAGTGCTGGTGTAGAATGCAGAGATATATTCGGAGATTGGAAATTCGTAAACATCGTATCTAAAATTGTAGAGAGAAGAGGTGATGGTAATATAGAGGGGAGTGCCAAAGTCACTTTTCTCGGCCTCGAATCGATCAGTAGGAATCTGCAAAACCATGATCAGTAACATTCCTCTCCCAACTAGAAGAGGCTCTGCAAACTTGTATAAGCATCCCTCACAGCTCTCTCAATCTTATCGCCCACTAGCCCCAAGTCCACATCCCTCAAATCCAACTTCCATAACTCATGTGCTTCTCCCCATTTCTTCCCATGTATCCTCTCCCTCCAAGCTTTATCATATCCCGGCTGCCATCTCCTAAAATCCCCCGCTCTTCTCTGTTCTTCTGGTCCAAAATTTATGATTGCTTTAGGTCCTGCATCGCCTGCGAAACCGACCTTTACATATCGACATCCGAGTTCAATAACTACACATTCTTCTTCTGCACGCAGCGTAGAGGGCGAACCAAAGGAGTTTGAGAGTTGTCGAACAGGCGTATGCGGTGTTGAAGGCGCACCACTACCACCCTGTGAATTTATGGATGGACGAATATTCGATACGCTGCGATGAGCTGGCCCAGATGAATACGACATTTTGCTATGATTCCATTTCCATCCTAACTCGGCATGCAAGCTTGGAGACCGGGGTCGTATCAATTACCTATTGCTTGTATCCATAGTTCTTTTAGTTGGTTTTTGGAGGGTTGACCTTTATTGCTGTGGCAACGAGAAACTGTCAACAAGGATATCGGTGAAACTATTCTTATCGATTTTCTTCAACTTCATTCACTAGCAGTATCGTTCAAACCACAGCTCTTTGCTTTTACGTTGTAAAGTTATTGTTTCTTAATAGCAGTGCTATTATTATGTATAGTTTTTGGAATTAGATTTGAAGAATTGCGTTTGCCATCATGGGTATCAAGGGGTGAGTGACGATATTTTCCACAACACAAGCTCTGTATACTGACAAAACTTTCAGAATTTACGGGGAAATTGGACCCGGAGAAAGAGTAGCTCTTTCGAAAATCTCGATTGAGAAATATGAGAAAACTGGAATTCCTTTGCGGATAGCAATCGATATCTCGATTTGGAACTTCCAAATCCAGTCTGGTCAAGGTAAGCTGATTAGCACATGATCATGGGGATATACGACTCATCGGTCATAGGTGGTACGAATCCGGCGCTGCGAACACTGTACTATCGACTTCTTAGACTTCTTTCTATTTCCGTACAACCATTGTTTGTCTTTGATGGGTCTCACAAACCGCCCGTCAAACGTAACAAGCAAACGGGGCGAGGCGGTGCTTCGATTCCGGATTTGATGACTAAAGAGCTACTTAAGCTATTTGGATTTGCATATCATATTGCTCCTGGAGAAGCCGAAGCAGAATGTGCTCTTCTACAGCGTGAAGGAGTTGTAGATGCTGTTTGAGTGAAGATGTCGATACACTTATGTTTGGAAGTGGATTAACATTCCGAAGCTGGTCTGCTGGGGCAACGGAAAAGAAGAGTGGTGCTGGTTCACCAACACATGTTAATGTTTATGATGCTAAAGCTACCAAAGCTGGTAAATCAGGATTGGATCGTGAAGGTATGATTCTAGTAGCCTTGATGAGTGGTGGCGATTATAAAACCGAAGGAATTCCTGGATGTGGTGTGAAGGTCGCTTGTGAAGCTGCTAGAGCCGGATTTGGAAAGAGATTGTGTCAGATTCGAAGAGAGGATGTTGCCGCGTATGATGAATGGAGAGCAGATTTAGCTCATGAGTTATTCACAAACGAAAGCAAGTTCTTTAGAACCAAAAGAAAGGCTCTACAAATCCCTGAAGATTTCCCGGATCGTAAAGTTTTGGGTTATTATACGCATCCTGTTGTTTCGTCTTTAGCGAAGGTTGAAAGGCTTCGGGATCAGATTGTATGGGAAGGAGAGATTAATGTTCCGAGACTTCGAAATTTCGTGGGCGATGCATTTGATTGGAAAGGGAAAGAGGGAGCCAAAAAGTTTGTACGAGGTTTAGCACCAGTGTTGTTGTTAACAAAACTTCGTCAACGTGGAGATCGTCAAGAATCCGGTTACGATGACCCTATGCTTACAAAACTTAATGAGATGGAATTGGTAAAGTCTATCTGTGGCCAAAGAAGACATGTTACCACGGATGAAGTTCCAGAGCTGAGAGTCATCTACCAGCCTCTCGAAATAGTTGATATTGATCTAGATGAAGAAGACGATGAGATCGAAGATTATGGAAGAGATGGCTTGGCCCCTCTTCTTGAGGACGATCAAATTCAGGCGTACGCATCAGATGATGCAGCGCCAACTGATACTCCACGAAAACGTGGACCTTCTCCATATGATCCCACAAAAGCAGATAAATTATGGATATTCGAGTCTATTGTTAAGGTTGGCGTACCGCTTACTGTAGAGGACTATGAAGAAGCTCTTCGAGATCCTAAAAAAGCCTCGAAACAAAAGGCTGCTGCAAAAAGAGCAGAAACCAAAACCACCAAGTCTAGAGCATCAAGTAAAAGTACCGGCGGTATGTCTAAGGGTGCAATGGATCGTTTTGTCGAGAGATCAGAAAGAGGCATCAGGCCCACAGCCAAAGCATCGAGTCAGCCTACCCAAAATGTCGAACTATCGGAAGATGACCTACCACCTCAATTCTTGGCTCCAAGTATTAGAAGTCCTAAGTCACCAGTACCAGTAGTGACAAAGAAACGACTCATACGCGGTCGCAAATCCGCTGCTATCAAAGAGAAGGAAAATGCAAGGTTGAATCCTTGGGCTACATCTCAATCGTCCTTCTCTCAACCTTTACCTCAAATTACGAAGGCCTCGCGTGTTCGAAAACCTTCAACTCCAACTAAAGCATTTCAAACCTATGGCTCAATGAGTCCAAGTCCCAAACCTCAATACATCCCCTCGCCACTCTCCAGACAAAGACATCGACAACAACCCATTTCCTTAAGCGATGACGAAGCGGATGAGCCATCTCTTCCATCTACCCGAACCCCCATCTATAACGATCGTCCCTCCCCACGGAAAAAGCGATCTCCACCCCCAGCAAACACAAAATCAGGCCTCTCTTCACCCCTGGCAGCTCTCCATACAAATCCAAGTACCCGCCCACCACTCACTCCCCAACCCACAAACCGCAAAATTGATTTTTCACTACACTCTTCAAGCAATAAATCTTCTTCCTCAGGCTGCTCATCCATCTCCAAATCTTCCTACAAAACTGCTCCTTCACAAAACTACTCACCAGGAAGAATCATCGACCTCACTTCCTCCCCTCCCGAAACCCCATCCGCCTTTCCCGAACCATTGATCCAAGATTTCGATGACTCTCCCGGATATCCCAAACTTGTCATCCCATCTAGTTCTCCCCTCCCAATGAAAATGAGTCCGCAACATAACAACCACGATTACGCTTACGATTACGAACATATCCACGATCATAACAATACTTACACACCCACATACCACACTACCATCAACATCAACACGACAATCTACAACATCACCAATTCCCCCTCCCATTCACCCCTCAAACCTAAATCTCTCAAATCCCTATCGCGACGAAATCCGCAAGGAGAAAAAGAAAAAGAAGGAGAGCAACTCAATGAAATTGAAACGATAAGAGAACAAACAATCGAAACGGAAATCGTCGAGGAAAATGTATCGTTTAATAAGGGGAAAAGGGAGAAAAATACGAGGAGATATATTATGCTGCGTGAATCATTACCTGGGTCGTGGAGGGAAGTAGGGAGGGAGGAGTTAGTGGAGGGGAGGAGTAGAGCTTGGAGGGCGGAGGAGGTGGAGGTTTTGGATTTGACGGGGGAGTGAGGGAGGGGTTTTGGTTTTGGTTTCGCTAGGTATATATTTGTTTGGATATAGGAATGGGTTTGGGATTTGGGTTTGGGTATGGGTATGGTTCGAGGAGTTGGGAGATATATTGGATCACGGGGCGAGAGGAGATCGATGAATACAGTCAATCAGTCACTTCTACTCTGTCCATTTCAATCTTATCACAAGATACTTTTGATATAATTAACTTGGTACTACTCACCTATCTCGATACTAAGTTATATATGAGAGGATATTCCATGCCTAAACATATATCTACATAATACCCATTCCTCACACCTCCCGCAAAGCTTCATCACCTATCACATCCATCGCTTATCATATCATCACTTCCCCTAGAAAGCCGCTGTAAAATCCCTATTCCTATCATTCCTCCTCTTCTATTTATTTCGATAGGAAAACTCGGAGTTCAAGCCATACAACACCAACTTCAACTCCTTTGCTTTCATCGATTCGATCCCGATCCCCGCTCTCCTACCTCAACCTAACCCCCCACAATCTCCACCCCAAATCCTCCAAATGCTCAGCCTAGCAAAATAAACCACCCCATCACCTTCTACATCCTCACTCACCGTTCAAACAATTATACAAACATAGCAGAAATACGCCATAAAACCAGAATCATAATTCATTACATTTTCTCTCACTCGAGTACATACATAACCAACCAATCTAGCTATTCCATACCGACGCCTCCCCCGTAAACGCCATCGAAACACGCACTCCATGTGATATAAATATACAGATTCAATTCCCAAATACCGTTAATATATACAAACCCGAGCACCAAGAGCCAAGCGCGCCTCACCCGCTCCACCCCTACCAATCCCGTTCCACCCTCCACGCATCACCAGGCACCAACCCCTGCGCCCTCAAATCACAATCCCTATGTCCCCATTTCTCCGCAAACACTCTCCTCCCATGTTCAATCGACATCTGAATGCCTATCTCAAAGCCCTCCGAATCCCTATAGTAAGGATCATTTTGTCCGCCCACCTGTCTTCCCTGCCACGTGTTTCGTCCGTTTTTATTCGCGACCTTGGAATTTCCCATGTGATCTAATACGTCTAGAAGTTTGCGCCACGATTCCTGGGCTACGGGCTCATCGGTCCATTCTCTGTGATTTTTGTCCGAGAAAAGATTTCTCGAGCTGAGATCGCGGGGGTGCTTCTCAGATGGAAGAGAAGCATCGGTTGTTGAGTTCGAATCTGCTCTAGCGAGTTCTTCTTCGACGGCATTCGGATCAATGAAAGAAGGATCTGGACCCTCTTTCTTTCGGTACAAAACTTCGAGATCATCCAGACTACTTGCTACATCCCAGATAGCACCCGCAGGCCAGTCTCTCATTTCGAATCCTTCCATGGCGAGTCTTTCATGCATGTCGCAATCGGTACCGTAGAAAGGTATCAAGGTATCCCAACCTCCGACTTTTTGATAGGATTCCGTGTTAACGAGAGCGAGACGATCGTAGGAGAAGAATTCGAGGGCCCATGGTTTTACGACTCCTGTTTCGGGGTTTGGAGTTGTTACATTGCGGAGAGCGGAGACACAATGATCGTAGAGGGATTGAAACTTTTTGGGTGAGGGATTGACATTATCTGGATGAGCATCTATCCATCGATCCTCGAATGACAGAATGGCGAGATCCATATGACTCCAGAAGTAAGTTGGCCATTTGTTCTCAATAGCTGTCCATAAGAAATAGTTTTGTACTTGGGAGAAGGTGAGTAGAGTAGGTGCTATGAGGACATTCACACCAAGCATATGCAATCGAGTATGATTGAGAAAGAAAGGATTTTGAAGTGATAGTTGTCCATCTTTATTTGAATTCATAACACCTGTATTTTCGACGACGTATATATCCGAAGGAGGCCATCCTGCAGTGATGTAAGAAACAACGACTTGCTGAAGAAGACGCCAATTCCTCGTAAACCCAATGAGTAGAGGAGTTTTTTCGGGGACATGCGGATTAGGAGGTTGATTCCACTTGGGGATTGGTGGAAGTTCTGAAGCTGAATGTGCGTTCAGAGCAAGAGGGAAATTATCAACTATAGGATAACTTTTCGGAGGCTTCAAGGTTTTGTATTTTGGATGCTTTGGTCCAGTCTCGATTGGTTCGGATGGAGGAGCAAGAGATGTGAGTGGTCTTATACTATCTAGTAGATAGAAACCAGTAAGAAGTATAGTCGAGGCTACGAATACACTAAGTAGCATATAGCGCTGGCGTAAAGTGATTGCCATGATTATCTGCAATCTACTTATGGAATGGAAGGAATTAAAATGATCGGAATGTGATGAAATAGGAACACGCCAACACAGCGATTATGAACGATCAGAAAAAGACAACATCAAATAGCAAACAAATGTCAAAACTATTAATTGCGAGGGGCATCCTACAGAATAACAGAGAGAAAACTAGTCTACCATGGCTCGAAAGAACAAAGACTTACGAATCCATCCCACTAAGGAAGCCCCCCAACGCATATTTCCTGATATCATAGACTGCTTGAATGCATACTATATGCCAAGTCTAAACGCACTAATGGAGAAACGGTCTCCAAGCGGTAGTATTCGGTACAAATCCTCTTCAAGCCCCCATCTATGTTGTTCATTGGCGCTGACATGCACGACAATTGCCATATTGATGATTATACCGTAGTATGTGAAGAACACCTACTTCATGCCCCATAAATTATAGACGAGGAATTGCTTCGCACCGAACAGGCACGGCATGATAATTTCCCTGCACGTACCCTGACTACCTACTTGAAAGGCTCGTGTGCTTGCACTATATCTCCATTTTTTACATCCTTCCTGGCGGTACGAGTTGATTTCAGTCGGTTATCACATCCAATGATGTTTGATCACAGAAATTCTGACGCCCAGCTTATTGTCAATCTGTTATTTATCGTCACTGGGGCGTTAATTGTCACTTGTTACCTCCAAAGATAAAAATAGCCTTACAGATATAATTTCGAACCATTCCACTTCAAATATAGGACCGGAAGTATCCTCTGTCTTGAGATAGATCCTCTCAAGCTTCATTTGCGCTACATCGATATTGACATCGATACAATCTCAATCCAACGTAGAAACCATGCCATTCTCAATATATTGGAGCCTGGAGATGAACATAACTTTTGAGCACCAGGATGATGGGTTTCACGGCTCATCTGACAGTGGAGTGCTGATTGAGAATTGATTATATAAAGCGCCAATTGGTGAGAACTTATGAGAAGCAATTCGAGAAGTGCATGGGTAGGCAGTACGATGAAATTTAGGACAAGGTAGGTTACTGAAGTTGGAATAAAAGTTTGGAACATGTACTTTTGCGCATTGCATATACACCTATGCGGGAAGGGAAGTGCTTCAAATTTACTGACACCTGATTGACCATTCATGTCATGTGCTTACCTCGCATAATCATTTACCATGGAAGATATATTACCCCCCTTCATGAGAGCCAACGAGCTTAGGATTCTACTTGTTAATTTCAACCTCATATTTTTAGAACATCATTGATTGTGTTGAGAGTGTAAATTCTCTGTTCTGAAGTCAATTATTCTTCATATTAAATTGAATTGTAATTGAGAGAAGCTAGTCAATGCAACTCGTCCTATACACATTCTAAGCATAAAGTTCGTGGCATATTTCTCCAATAGCCAAGGAGGAGCAAGGAATTTATTCTTCTGGTATGAGCGAACTCCACGAACTCCTGCTGCTCTGATATCAAAGTTCTCTCTTGGCGATTCTCCTATTGATAGCACATGCTTTACATGTGGTCATGATGCAAACACTCGGACAACCTGGTCTACACACCCTGTCGCAATAACACATCTGATGCTTACTTTTGCATCCTCTTTCTTCGCTGTCCCATTCCCATTCTTGGTCGGAATTGCCACTCCATTTTCTCCATTGAGAATAGGAACATCCTTAATAACACTTGGAGCCCATCTCATACAACTGACGAAATGACCATGTGAATCACTTATTGTCTTTACACATTTTCCTTCTTGCGCAAGATCCCAACACCTTAATGTCCTATCATCTGCCACACTTAACAAATATTTTCCACCAGGATGAAAGACAAGAGCTCTAATCCAATTATCATGACCAATGAGTGTCTTGATCAATGTACCTCTAGCATCCCATATTCGAATACTCTTGTCTCGAGCTCCGGTAGCGACGTATTCAGCGGAACTGCTCGCTGCAGGTGGTTTCTTTAATCCTGCCATGGCAGCCAGGTGAGGGTAACTTGCTGGTGGCGCGAATACACAACATTCAATCGTATTTTCATGACCCAATAAAGTTGCCTTTGGTTCTCCTGATGATGCATCCCATATTCTTGCGGTTTGATCCACCCCAGCAGATAGAAGCCATCGACCGTCAAAAGAAGGTGCTACGTCACGAACCCAATCCGCATGTCCTCGAATAGTTTTCACACAATATCCCGTGGAAACATCCCATATGCGTAAAGTTTTGTCTCGACTTGCTGATACCAAAAGGTTTCCAGATGAAGGTGACCCAGCTGCGCCACTAGGTATGAATCGTACGGCTGAAACAGAATGATCGTGTCCAGGTAATGTGCGAATATTCTTATACTGATCGCTTGGGTCCCATAATTTAATAGTAAGATCACTAGAACACGATGCCAGCAATGTTCCTCCTCTAGGGCCACCGAAATCAACATCCAGTACTGCTCTTGTGTGTCCTTTGACAGTGAGTTCTAATTCTCCAAGCTCCCAATCCCAAATTTTGATTGTGCAGTCCTCCGAACCCGATGCCAATGATGAAAATACTGGATGAAACGCAACACAGGTAATTGCTTCCCTGTGCGACTGGAGATTATGCCTCGCTGGTGATTTTGGTAACCAAGCTGTGGGATCGGTATTTCGATTTGATAGAGATGTAGGTGTTGCATTATCGATTTCACTTTGTAAAGCCGCATTTCTCGCTTCGAGGTCCATTATCTATTTCCCAATCATCAGTATGGAACTCTTGTTGAGATTGATATTGAGGATTCTCACCTTCTTCTGTAACCGCACCACACTTGTCCATTTCTTCTCCAGCAGACCTTCATATTTCTTACTCGTGGCCGAATCGAAGCTTTCACCGATATCAAGTTCCTCACGTAACGTCGCGGCACTATGTAAAAGATTCGTCGAGGTAAGGTATGCTATCATAGACTTGTGCCTGCGAGAGTAATATTAGCCATCATGAGGATGTGATGAAGAAGATATGTTCAACTCACAGCTCCTCGGCCTGCCGCGACGTCAGATATTGGCTCATGACGACTATTGTATGCGATACATGAAGTTGAATGGGACTCTGATATTAATTTCTTCCAAGGCTGATGCGCCTGGCAAGCGAAATATTAGACGGTTCGATTCTTGTCTCCGATATGGATCTGATAGTGATCTCTTTTGCCTTTTTTTTGGGTTCTCGTGGATGGGTAATTTGTTGTGATTTTATGCCTTTTTGACTTTTCGAAGCGCAAGTATGCACACACGCTTTTGCACACGTTCCTTTACACGTACCGGTAAAGTGTTAAGGTTGGGTATGGATGGCTCGATAGATAGATAGCTGGCTGGCTGGCTGGCTGGCTCTACCTACTTTATTTATGCTCAGAAGCGCGGGGTGTCCACAACTTTTGTTTTGACGATAGGCGGTAGGGCAGAAGTTCTTTCTTTGTGTTCTACTGAGACAAAACGAATACTTTGGACAATTGATGAGGATTCTTAATTATGAGATGATATGAAACAACATTATGCAAGAATCCATTATTACCATTATTATGCCATGAATTCTAGAATCCGTGGGAGGGAAGGTTCATGACGTTTTGTTATACGATGAGTATCTAATGGTATCTACTGGTATCTACGTAGGTAGGTACTAGGTAATTTGGAAACATTTGGATTGAGATTTCTTTCTTCTGTTGACATTCACTCCAGACAGACCACGCGTTTATTCTTTGATGTTTCTTCTTCTTGGGCCAAAAAGTTTCATCCCCTGATACAGTTGGGACGCCCAACTTGATTATGAAAAAGAGTGCACGCGCCAATTTGGCAGGGGTTTATCGATATCGGTCGTTACGGTTACGGTGACGGGAGTACCCTCTCTTCAATTTTGCGGTAAAGTCAACAACACAACACAACGCATCAATTCAATTCAATTCATTTCTTCCAAAGCCGTACTCTATACGGTGGATTTATATTCTCAATACTTATTAAGAACAAAGTGTGTTGTTTACTATTTTGACATACGCAGGATTTTTATCAACATCAAGCACTTTTCCCCCTTCCACTTTCACATGAGATAATTCTATCAATATCAGAAGTCAAGTCATTCAAATTTCAACCAAAACAATCCATCCTATCTACATACCCACCGGTCCTTTCCTCTCCCCAAAATTTACCCCACGACCATAAACTCTTTCTCAAATTTGCATACAACATCAAATTGGTAGGTGGCTTCCGTTGCTCTTTCCCATATGCAATAATGATGGCATTTTCTAATCTGCGACACCTTCAATCCACCTCTCCATGTTCTACACGGGATTGGAGAAGCATCCCCCTCCGTTACCCATGTCTTTATCAAAGCTAAAGCTAACCAAACGGATAGCTACTGGAAAGCTACCACAGAGTCCTAAAAAGTTTACAGGAGCCAAGATGGCAGAGCAAGAAGAAGATTTCAGTTCTCTACCCCTCCCAGATAGATTTCAACACAAGGTATGATTTTTCCTGCTGAAGTTCCATTACGACTTTTTCTCTCCTTTGCGCCATCAATCCCTTGCAACTGGCAGCAAACGTAGACTAATACTTACACTCGGTGATAGATATGGAAAGTAAGAAAGGCAGCATATGAAGATGCAGCAAAACAATTCGAGATCACACCAGATGAACATGACCAGTGTTTAAAACCATTTCTTAACGACCCTGGATTGTGGAAGGGAGCGGTGGCAGATTCGAACGTTGCGGCACAACAAGATGGTATCGCGGCATTATGCGCTTTCTTAAAGTTTGGTGGGCGCGAACATTGTACCAGGACACGAAGTCATACATTAACTTCCTTGGTCGAGAAGGGATTGAGTTCAACAAGGGCTGCTACCAAAGCATCTGCGCTCGAAGCCCTATTGTTATATGTCGAACTGGATGTAGCTGCCCCTGTCATCGAAGAGCTTCTTCCTGCATTGTCGCATAAACAACCAAAAATTGTCGCAGCGACAGTAACTGCAATAACCGCTATATATCATGAATATGGATGTAAGACAGTGGATCCTAAGCCCGTTCTCAAAGTTCTCCCAAAACCATTCGGTCATGCAGATAAGAATGTACGTGCGGAAGCTACAAAATTGGCTATCGAGTTTTATAGATGGTTACGAGAGGCCATGAAGCCAATGTTTTGGGGGGATCTCAAACCTACACAACAGACCGATATGGAAGCTCAATTTGAACAGATCAAGGGGGAGCCAGCGCCGAAACAAGAACGATTCCTCAGATCACAACAAGCAGCAATGTCTAGGGCACCTCCCCCAGGTGAAGGTGGTGCAGAAGAGGAGGATGAGTTAGAGGCTGAAGGTGTCGAGATTGATGCATTTGACTTAGCTGAACCACAAGATGTATTATCCAAGGTCCCTGCAAATTTCCACGAACAGTTAGCTTCGTCAAAATGGAAAGAGCGAAAGGAAGCGCTGGAGGCTCTATACACCTGTGTCAATGTTCCTAGAATCAAAGATGCCGATTTCGGCTTGATAGTTCACGGTCTGGCGAAATGCATGAAAGACGCTAATATTGCAGTTGTCACTCAAGCTGCACAGTGTGTTGAAGTTTTAGCTCAAGGTTTACGAAAGGGGTTCGCCAAATATAGATCCGTCATTCAAAGCCCCATTATGGAGAGATTAAAAGAGAAGAAGGCATCAGTTGCAGATGCTTTAGGTGCAGCACTTGATCAGGTATTTGCAGCAACGAGCTTGACTGAGTGTTTGGAAGAAACTATTGAGTTCTTGAAACACAAGAATCCTCAAGTTAAAGAGGGAACCGTTAAGTTTTTAATTAGATCGCTCAGGACAACTCGAGAAGCTCCCTCCAAAGCCGAAGTAACTCAGATTTCAGAAGCTGCAAAGAAGTTACTCGCGGAATCGAGTGAAGTACTGAGATCTAGTGGAGCCGAAGTATTGGGTACGATAATGAAGATTATGGGCGAGCGTGCAATGGGACCACACCTTGAAGGACTGGATGATATTCGGAAAACCAAAATCAAGGAATTCTTCGACATTGCAGAAGTCAAGGCAAAGGATAAGCCTAAGCCTCCTCCCGCCCCTGTAGCTCCTAAAGCCGCCCCAGCAGCAGGCCCTAAGAAAATGGTAAAGAAGACAGTCGCAAAGAAGCCACCTCCACCACCAAGTGCTTATGCCCAACAAGCTCCATTAGAGCCCCAGCCTACAGCAAGAAGTGCCGCTGGACTAAAGAAGCCAGGTGGTCTTGGACTGAAACCACCAGGTAAAAAAGTGGTACCACCAGCACTTGCTTCACCTAAACGTAACGCCCCATCACCAGTTCCGATTGAAGAAGAAGCTCCACCTCCACCTCGTGTAGGTTTAGGTCGTGGACCAGCTGGTCGATCATTGGCAAAAGCACCATCCGCTAATGCAGCTCCTCCCATGTCCTCAATGTCACCTCCACCGAATGCCGGTTTGACTGCTTTGGAGAAAGCTGAGCTGGAAGAACTGCGATTGGACAAAGATCGATTATTACGCCAAGCTGACGAAATGCGCCAAGAACGCTCAAGACTATTTTCAGAAATTCAAGAATTGAAGAATCAAAATGCACAGCTAATAGAGGATCATACACGAGACGTTTTATCAATCAAGGCAAAGGAAACCCAACTTGTTCGTTCGAGAGCAGATGCCGAAACGGCGGAAGCAATGTGTGCGCAATTAAGGAGGGAGCAAAACAGATTAAAGCATGCTTTATCAGCCGCCGAAAGAGCCAGTAACCATAGCCCATCGAGGGGATTATCGAGCCCCGGACGTGATGGAGCACATGATGAAGCTGGCAATCACCGCGAATCTATGTATGGCGCTCCTTCAGACAGTGGACGCCCAGATTATAGAAGTCGCCCTCGTATGTCTATCACATCTTCAATTGGAGAAGATCATTCAAACGGGGCTGGTCCTTATGGTCGAAATATGTTAAGTCCTGATTTGGAACCTACAAGTAATGGAAGATCAAGTGCTGCTAGTGGTAGTGGCAGGGCTAGCCCAGCACCACCATCTTACACAAGTGATCGCATGTCTAGAACTGGTAGTATTCCTAGTGGCAATGGAACAGGTGTAGAAAGCTGGAAGAGGGCTGCCGAGGTCACAAGTGCTTTGAAGGCAAAAATTGAGCTTATGAAGGTGAGATTTCTATACCTGCTTTTACATACTGTTTTCAAGGTACTAATAACAATTCGTTTATAGGCACGACAAAACATATCCAAACACTAAGCATATGGAAATCAAATATTTAATGAACCAAGGATAGAATAGGCATTAAGAGCATCGGGTAGATGGCGAAACGGAAAGGAAAGGATAGAAAGGAAGGTTTATTTGGCACTGATCAAACGGTGTTGTGGTCGTGCTTGGTATTTTTTTCCCTTGTGGTTTGAGGTGGCATCTTCTGTCTTGGTGCATATAAGGGGTTTCATTCGTCGTCGTAGACGAGGGCGAGGCGAATGCGAATGAATGTGAGGCGAAATGAGACGATGATTATGCTCACATGCCGTGTTCGATATGCGTATGTGGTCGTGGCTGGCGTTGATTGTACTATATTGTACTTTATTGTACGAGCGCAGCACATTTGCTTGAGGGGAAAGGATGTCATGTGCGTAGATATACACACATGTTTACGAAGTATAGGTTAGGGATGGATGCCCGCTTGCTTGATGCGTAAATGCGTAGCTGCGTAGGGGTCTTGTATTTCTCTTTCTTCAATGATACCATGGAAATGAAAATCTACGCTTATTGTTACGAGTATTTGAAATCAGTCCATCGTGCCGTTTATGTTTATGTTTATGTTGATATCTGGATGCAAAGAAGGGAGAGAGAGGAGGGCCCCTGAAATTCATGGTGGTGGTAGGTAGGGGGTGAGCTGTTGTGCGACAGTAATGGATTACACGGCATGTGGATGACGATGTCAGGTTTATGTAGAGGTATGGATGATGCTTTTGTGTTTCAAGGGTCTGCTTTGGTGATACATTGCTTTTTTTTTCGTTTTGTTTTCATGTGCGCGTGTGCTTGTGTGGGTGAGTGTGAATGGGGGATTGGAGATGGTAGTGGGATGTACGTTTTATGTAGGGTGCTTGATTTGGATGGGGATTGAGGTTTTTTATTGTTTTGTTGAAGGGTGGGTTTTGAGGGGGAGTAGGGTGTAGAATGAGATGGTATGATGGGAGAATATATTTCTATCTTGCAGTATGTATATCTGCATGTTTGCATGTACATCTACGAAAGAGGCGAGGTTACAATACCTAGCTGTTGAAAGAAAAAACCCCTAGGTCTAACTACAGGTCCGGGTCCTCTTGCATCGGAGAATTTTTTTTTCGTACCGAAATTAACGGGAGGGCAGGCGGGATGATAGGAAAGGAAGATTTTGACACATGTAGGTGCTAGGTTTCTTTGTATTATGTATCATGTATCATGTATCATGTATCATGTATCATGTATCATGTATCATGTATCATGTATCATGTATGTACGCTGGGAGTTGAAATATTCTCCGTGCCGGAGTGTGGATAGGGGATAGGGGGTCGGGAGAGGGGAGTATTGAGATTGCATGGTGCATGCGAATTGACATATGGGATATGGGATATGGGGGCGCGGGATGGGGGTTTCTATGGAGAGTTTGTATGTGAGGCGTGAGGAATGGGATGGGAATTTGGGTATGTTTGAGTAGGTAGGTATGTATTAGGAGCGCATGAACGGGCGGACACGCGATGGATCATGGGAGAAATATAGATGGTGTGTTTATTGTATTGTATTGGAGCATCGCATGGCATGGCATGGCATGGCATGGCATGGCATGGGAGGGAAGTCTTGCACTTTTTCGATATTTCTCGAGGGGAGAGGAGAGTTTGTTTGATTGTTTGATTCTTGGATTGTCAAAGCGGAATTGAGATTTATGGGGTGTTGAAATTGTGACAATTAGATTGATGGATTGAGAGTTAATTAAGTGTATATAAGAATTTAGCGTACCAGTAGGATAGTATGTGACTTTCCTTTCCCATCAAGCGGCTACAAGTTCCGAGTTCGCTAATCGAGGAGAAACTACCTATCTACCTACCTATGAGAAAGAGATGATATGAAATGAGTATCTAAGTTCTTACGTCATAAAAGATTCAAATTGATCGTCTCGGAATATAACATCCTTTGAAGAAACGTAAAGAGTGGGATGCCGAGATGGGGCAAATGGGAAGGAGATATGTTCTAGAAGCTTTGGAGAGGTGAATCCTTCGAGATAGTTGGCACGCGATGTTGGAGACCTGAGTTTGCGATTTACGTATGATGAATATTCTCGTGCACTTCTTTCTCCTCAAAGGGAGAAGAAATAGCTTGGGTGTCATATCATTTTCCCAAACAACAATTCTCACCACTTTGAAAACATTGGATGATTTCCCAAAGGAGATTTTACAGCAGCGATTCAATTTTTGCTTTTTTTTTTTCATAGAAAAAATGTAATCTAATATTTTAGTCTTCTAGAAGTTATAATTTAGGTAAGGTAGACAGACCCGTCTATGTGAGTGATGTGCAGGACGTCACATCACATCCTATCACAACGGTCGGACATGACATTGGTAGGGTTTAGGGTGAGGCAAGGGGTCGTCTTACATTTTCCAAGATGGGTTTGGGAGGGATGAATGGGACACTGGGGTTGAATTGGACGCGCGCACATGATATCCTGTTATACCTATGCTTGTCAGATGAGATATGGTGGGTGGGGTGGAGAGATATGAGTGGTGATGGATGGTAGATGGTGGATAGTATGATGCGGCACGGATATTATTTCAATGTTATAACGGTGTTGTATTGGGTGTTTTTGTTGGGTACTGGATGGATTTGATGTCGGAGGGAGGGAGAACAGATGGTTGGGTTGAAGTGCTTTAGATTGGAGTGCTTTGAGGCACGCGAGCCACGGTACTGTGCCGAGCAGTGTGCTTTGCAATGTTGTTGATTATGGAAAACGAGAATGAAGGGGTAATACTTTATAATGTAGGTATGTATATCGCTATTGATATCAACACCAAGCCTCCCCAGCATGCATACTCACATACTCACGAATACCTTTAGCTACGCAGGATTTGTTTTCGTGAAAATGCGATTTATGTGATAGGTTGAAGATTGCTAAACAATCTGCACCATAACAATCTGATACTTGCGAAAATAGCAAAGGGAATTGGATACCGTGGGTACCTGGGAATGGGAACATGGCATGGAAGACGTTGAACAGGTGGTCCAAGCAAGTTTGGTAGCGAATGTATGCGCAGCTGAGAAGGGTTTTAGATGATGAGCGCTGCATATTCGGGGTAGTATTCGAAGGGGATATGTGGGTGAGGGGTATGCCCTTGTTTTATTGGTAGGAAAATATGTGAGTGAGGACGAGTGAGATTGGATTATTCATTTGCTTGTAAACAAACCGGTATTGATAAGATGAGAGGTCGGATGGAACTAGAGATGGGGTGAGAATTTGGGCAGCTTTACGTCTTTCAGTGAGGGATAAGGAAAATGGTGAGCTTGTGACTTTTTTTGAGATACATGGCTTCGAATTTGTTATTAATTGATTGATGATATGGAAGTCAGACTATCGAGAAGATTATCTTCAGTGGTCGAAAGGATGAATAAGGCAGGTGGGGGTTTCACGAATGATACACCTTCTATCGTATATCTATGGATGAGTTGGCCTCGCTAGCGAGTAGTAGATGGATGGACTCGCGCGCGCCGAGTAAGGACTTCATAGCAAATGACGCCGATGATGATGAGTAATGAATAATCGGTGAAGGACTCTAGTATATCATCCATACCACCCACTTCACATAATATGGCTGGCTTCGGAGTGAGCGGAGAAAGAAATGTCTAACGAGCTCCCCTGTTGGAATTGCACTACTCAGGTGTGTTGAGGTTAATCCATTGAAAGCTAAAAATAAATAAAAGTCGCGGAAAAATTATTGATCTTGCTATTAATTTACAACAATTATCTCAATGCTTTTCTTGGGCCGTTGTACACGTAGTAGACATGAATCTACAGCTACATACGACATGCAGGAACCATATGATCAGATATGCCCAGGTTAATGGGATTAGATTTGTAACATTTGGACCATCTTTTATGCTGGACGACTGTATGTGTATGGACTGCAATAAGTCAAAATCGGTAAACATGTTATAGCACCCTGACTGCAGCTGTGTATTGAATATCGTTGTATTGTTCTCCCAATTGATAAACCAGGTTTCGGAAGAAAAGCCGTTAAAACGGGCTCGACGGGCAGGTAGAGATAATGAAAGTGCGTACATATGTTGTGGAGGGACGGGATCGGCTGTAATTATCTATTCTTCTTAGTATTTTGGTCTCGAGTCTGTCACTGCAATGCAAATTAAGGAAAAGGAATATGGACATACTGAACTAATTCGGTAGAAGGATCTCCGAGGTCTATGGGGAAGATCTTCATGCTGTATTCAAAACCAGTGTATGCAGTGATCACAATATATCTAATTTGATACGATGAGTTTGCCGCTTACTTCTATCTCGCTATAACCTAACACCTTTCATTAATTGATGTCCAAGTGAAAATCAAGACTTTACAGATGCAACACCGGCTAATGAATTACTAGTGAAGTCTTGACCAAAAGCCAAAATACCCCCTTACCATCTGCCGAGACAACTCTTCTCCTCTTTCCATCCCGTCTGCTCAGGACCTCAGGTATCTGCATCCCTGTCTAATCTTTCTAACCTTCTAAGAATCAATCAATCGAAACACCATAGAAATGTTAATCTCGCACAACATGTCTTGTGTACGTCAATATCTATCACCTCTCAAATTCTCTCCAATCTCGCTCATCTACAAATCCATACTTCCGAATCCCCGCAAGGTGCTACAAACAGGATTATTTTCCGCGAGCCACCAACCATCCATCCAAACTCTTGCTAATCCTTGTCTTTTAATGCTTCGACCGCTCGCATCCGGTTCATCGGCTCTTTTATTGTATATTGATTCTCATCGGTATTTGCCATTGCAGTTGCAGCCGTTTGCTAGCTTTCCATGTCTTGTCTTGTCTCGTCTCGGACGGAATGAAAACGGTTGTAATAGGAGAAAAGGAAGATTGTAATATAACATACTACGCACGTGAACGAGGCACTTCTTTATGAGTGGCTCCGGTAAGAGCCGGTATTATATGTCTTGGGTGTTGGGCATGTATTGCTATCTGGAAAGCAATGCTTACCTCCGACGCCGTTACGAATCTCTTTGCTTACCCGGTTCCTAAGCACATCTATCCACACTGTCCACATCGCGTTCTAATAAAATTGAATACCGATATCCGTCCATATCAGCACCCCTAGTAAATATGAAAGTATATCGGGATCATTGAAGATATTGTGACATGAGGTGATTGATACTGACTTGCCTAATCGGGTAACTATTCAACATACAATATCTCCGTAATTCGCACACGAAATGACCTCTTCATGGATTCTTTACCTTTTTTCCGACCACGATTGAAACGACAGCTGCATCCCGCAGTTCACCCCCACCAAACCCCACGTCTTCTACGACGTTTGGAAGAATGACAGGATGAACTACCCTGTCTAGGACCTAGGCGATGTGAATTCTAGAATTTCTACTCGGTACATTTCCCACGCGGGTACCCCAGTCAGATACATGGCAATGTTGTTACAGTAGTCACTAGTACATTACATATGGAAAATTAGTTTATCCATTTCGCGTGGCCAAGGGCTGATCGTCCCAAGCAGATGGAATAAAAACAAAAACAGAACAACAGAAAAAATGTGATAGATCAAATAATCCAAAATCAAATCGTCGCGGTACCAAAATCAAAACACACCCCGCTCTTTTACAGAGGGGATCTAGAGAGCCCGAAGACCTGGTTAATATGTTGAGTTACAGAATTAAAAGACTGGAGTCTCTGCGGTGCAACATATCGTCTTGTATGCTGAGTAGCTTCTTGCTCGCTTGTAACAATAGCGTCTAAAAGCTATGTAATCGTGCTCATCGAGGTCTACGGAGGTATTATAAATGCTATAATAAGTATTATAAATGATATAATAAGCAGGAAGACTACCTAGATAGAAGCTGCCTTATTGCGATTAATAACTCGATGAAAAAGTACAAGAGGCGAAATTAGTATTGATTACGAAGAATGTACTGAAGTGGCTAAAAAAATACCTCGGAGTAAGAATAACAAAACATGTTCGTATTCAAAAATAGGATGTGCTTGCGATTATTTTACTAAAATGATACAGTAAACCAGCCTCAGTGAGGGAACGCGTTGTACAGATGATGCTGATGAGAATAAATTATTGCAAGATGACTGTATTGCGCAGAAAATTGCAACCAAAAAGGGGGGGGGGTAAATACACGAAGAATCATTCGGAAATACATTCTCACTGTTGATAGCAACGAAGCGAAGAGATATTCAATTTTTGATTTCTATTTTATTGAATAACTCTAGCTTACATCATATCATTGTTATATCAATTACATCAATCATAACCTTCACCGCATATTCAACAAAAAACCAACAACCTAGCTGACCAGACCAGAAAGAAGTCAACTAATAGACATACTGTAACACTACATACGAAAATAATTCCACCACATGTTGTACGCAACACCACAACTATCATATTCAACAAGCTCAAACATCAAACCATCAATTAGCTGTCGTCTATCATATTTCCAACCTCACACGTCCACAAACCTCCCACACTCTACGATCCTAGACCCCCGCACACAACAACGCATCGCATCTAGATTAACCATGGTATTGGACCGCATCTTTCACGTATCATCACATAGGGCATAAACATCCCATCGTTTCCTTCTCCTTCATGTGCTAGAATCCCATCCATATCTCTCTCTCCGTGCAAATGTATACCCGAACTCGGTAATTATTCACCTGTCACGACTGGATCTCGGCACAAATCACTTACCTAGGTGCCCACCTAATCATATCGTAAAAAAAATCCCGATGCTCTTCACCGTCGATGATACTTTTCTTGCCTCACCTCCTTGATTTCATCACTTCTCCGCTTTTTACAATCGTTCCTTTCCTTTTCCTTTCAGATGGGGTATCTATCTTGCGTGCACATTTCAATCCTACACTCAAAACCCCCACACCGTTCTTTAACCCGGATACTGGGAATCCCCAAATCATAATGATCAACACAACACCTTTTGGATCTGCGTACTACACCGGCAGCCAGCACATACATACATACATACATACATACAAATTCGTCTGTACACACGACTAATCACCGACCAATTCTTATTTCAACCCCTCTTCTAAATCTCTGCAAACTTTACAAATCTTCTCTCCAGTTCCTTGGCGCGCTACATAAGCTACACATTGTACTGCAATCTCACTCCATCTATTATCGCCCAGAAATGATAATAAACAATCGATTAGACAAACGATATCCATAGAATGTAATCGATCCAATGCCTTTCCTGTAGTTACATTCCATCTTTCTTCGTGCATAATGATGCACAGTACATCGACTCAGCAACCAAAGGGTACACAATTCCACATATCTAAGTATGCAAAGTGCCTTCCGAAACACACCTAGATCTCCCACTTCCTTAACCAGTCGGTCACCACACCACTTTTCCTTTAGAGTTTGATACGACAAGAATATCCCGAGTCGAATTAGAGACTTTTCGAAAAGTGGTAGTAGAAATAATGCATCCAATTTTTGAATGTTCGATATACCCCTCCATCTGTCCAAATGCAATGAATTTTCATCTCGCACCACCACCGTCATGACCCATGCACAAAATGACATGACACCCTGAGACGAAACGAAACAGATCAAAGCGGACGCGACGGCTATGCACAGGTACCTACCTACCTGTCGATACCATCATATGCATCGAATCTCCCGTCCTCGCAAGCCGCTCCACTCGTCCAAGCGTTCATGTGAAAAGCTTTAATAAGAAGAAAAAATACATGTAGAAGGCCCCTGGCTGCATAATTTGTACTTCCCCATCATCCAATCCTTTTCGAGGAGTGATGATGAGGGTTTCCCCTGTCTTAAACGCGGGCCGGTAGTGAAGTTCCAGGTCTGGGGAAAAGGGGAGATGGAGGTTTACGGCCGGCTTTTGCGGCAAGTTGACTTTTATCATGACTCTCTTTTTCCCGGTCTTGGGAGATGAGGCAATGAAACCTAGAAGCTAGAAGTTGGACGTAAGATGTGAGATGTGTGTGTTACCATGACCAGTGGATGAGATTGTCTTCCCCGAGATATTGGAAAATCTTGGATGCCTAACGGATGTCTTTCTTTCTCGTGTTTTTGGGCCGTGATATACGGATTGCTCTAATTTCTAGCAAAATTTCGGGCCTGGATCATTCCCGGGTCCTGGAAGTGGTAGAGCCAAAACAAAAAAGAAGAGAGGAATGCATCTTTGGTTTGCGAATGCGCTTTTGTTTGGTTTGTAAAAATGTTGTATGTGGAATACATACATCTCATTCTCAATGATCCATTATCATTCATATGAATCTTGATACTCGTAGAAAAAATGAAAGTCCCTTATCCAGCGAGTAAATTTCCAGTGAAAAAGTGACATCCTTCCCAAATGCACCACACTATTCAAAGAGAGAACGCCGTCCTATTCCATTCCATTCCATTCCTTGCCTGGTCTGTCCTTCTTAATAATTTCCCAATTCCCCGTCCGTTGCTGGATATGTAATGTATAAAAAAGATTTCCTACTCCATACCCATACCCATATCCATACCCATAACATAAGCCATCCATTTCCCTTGCTCCATCCCAGTGTTATTCTTTGCATTGCCCAAAAATCCTTGCGTTGGAAACGTTTATGTCCAGCATACTATACAAACATGTGGTAAAGTAAGAAGTATGCCAGGCCAGTGATGATCCAGAAAAGTCTTTGCCTCCTTCGTCCTGGTTCCAGTTGATCCGATGTCGTTCTTCTTCTTCTTCTTTTCGTTCCTTTAGTCCCTTCTTTTTCGTATGTTTCTTGTGTCGTTCCCGAATTTCGTCGTCATACATAATAGATGGATGAGCACAAGTCCCGGACATGAGCGAGTCAATTATTTATCATAGGTGAATGTGAGCCGTCTTTTTGGTGATTCGAGAATACCATTCTGGCATTTCTCCCACATGTTTACAGTCGCCTAGTGACTTGTTAGCAAATGTTCGATATATCATATTCTTTCGTGTTCGGTCCGAACGGTCTAGACTCGACGGAAGTGAAGGAGGGGTTCTACTAACCGCACATTTCCGATTCACCTAACCTATAAAAAATCCACAATTAGTACATTTGATTCGGGAAAAATTGGTACAACGGTATATGTTGAAAGAGCTGAAATGCAAGTACCTAAACTCGACGGCCACAACATTGGGTGGGCACCGGCGATGTGTCGTCTCATAATTGATACACCATGCCCGCACAGTATACCGAACGTGACCTATAAATCGAGTAGAAATTTTGTTAGTCTAATTTGTCAATACGTAAATAGATCACAAATAGATTTCCAACAGTGAAAGGGAAAAGAACCACTAACCACACCGAAACTCAACCTGAGTATAATCGCACATTTCCAACGTTTAGAGGGTGAAAGTGCTTAGAGGAGGCGAGGGGGTAGTTGAAAGATTTATCTCAGCCTCGGACCGGGATATGCGTTTTCTCTTATCTGATATTGTGAACCGAAGTAAGAGAGAAAACGAATGACGGAAAGGTTTCGGGTGTACGAGGTTCTCTTTTATTGAAGGGATCAAGTGTGAAAGTAGAAGTCGATCTTGTTTGTTATGTAGTTGTAGTTGTGGAGATCGGGTCGAAGAGGGGAAGTAGTTGGGTTGAAGTAGAAGAAAGTCTGATGTTCCTTTTTTTTTCTTCTTTCGAGAAAAGTTTCGAGGTCAAGATCGAGAATGATGAGCGACTACATATGTACAAAAAGCTCACCAGAACATGCACCCCTCGATCTAAAGTTCCACCCGGTTGATTCGGTCCATTTAGGATCAAAAGATTTACGGTGTGGTCCTCCGGGGTAGATTCGATATTGTAGGATACCTGGGTACATTCTATGTTATAATGAATTTTTAGCTTTTTCCTGACATTTTAGCTCTTAACTCGATCGAGTATGATTCTGGAAAAGCCTCATTTTTTATTTTTAAAATGACGGTTAATTAATCAAAATTGACAAGGTAATACAAGTGGCTTTTCAACTTTTTCAAGAATTTCACAAAGAGTCGAGCAAGGCTTGAGAACAATTGGTACAGTGTAGGTTTGCAGGGGACGAGCGAATGCCGGGTCGACAATCAGATTTCAGGGGGTAGAAGAGTCAACTGAGTGGAAGAACAAGGTCAACTTACTGGTCAACTCTTCTAGCAGGCCATTCTAGCGATTTTCATAACACGTGGAATCCTTAACTATTAATTAACTAACAGCAGCATGGATTTGCGGTGCTAACCGAACAATGCTAAAGGTGCTTTTGAGAATCCTCTTTGGCTTTGTCTCAGAATAGTAAGTGGATATCTCATTTGGCATCAAGGGCTTCAGGGCCCATTTCAGAGATTTTCGGTGACAGATTCTGCAAGCGCCGAGTACTTGTTACAAAAATTATAAAACAGTGTTGAAAAATGGCAAGTGAACGTTGAAAGACGGGGTCTGTAGAATCCAAAGTCGCTTGCTTGGCCAGTGGAAGTGGATATTTTAGCAAACAACTAATCTAACCTTCAAGCGCCCTCGGGTTAATCCAACCGACATAAATCGTTGTGACGGGCAGAAATCTCACGGCAGGAGTCAAGAATCTTCCAAAAGACAAACATAGCCTAAGGTTTGTTCTGGATATTATTGCGAAAATTGTGTCGACTACTATGTCAAAAAGCAACCAAACAAACCCTTTCGAGGTATGATACTCAGAAGTTCCAGCTCAGTAGTTTGGCGGCATTCATGTTAGAAAATTGCTGTTTTCAAGAAAGTGTCGCAAGGGTATAAAGCGCTATCAGAACTGGCGTGATGAATGACTTGCGAAGTGAGTTGCTAAGTTGCTAGGGGGGTGTGGAGGATATGTCGGACCATTACCACGTTGCTGGGTCTTTAGAGTTTAAACCCCGTAAAAGGATCGGGCTTTCAACTCTAGAGACACAAACAAATGAGGGTTCCAGTAAGGAAATCAACCATAATCTCGTTTTTTCAGGAGATGTTGACAACTTACACCTTCGCATCGCTATCACCGATACGGGGTGAGGAATGTGCCCGACTAACAACATCTTGCTCAGGTAGAAAGTCCAAATTAGTCTGGGAGTCTGAGCAGCGGCACAGTCTTGACGTAGCCAATTTTCCTGTCGGTAGTTAGATGCTGATCGCAGATCAAATGCTCATAATATTACAAGTTGGTCAAGCGCTTACATGTATCCGTAGCGTTGCATGCTCTACTAGGCTTGCTGAAAGGGATCTTCTATTGGAGACACAACTACGAATTCACAGAGGTGTTGAGGTCAGGCACTGATGGAACTTGTAGGTCGATCAGCGCACTGCTCCACCGCTTTATTGTAGCGGCATCAAGCTAAGGAAATTAGCGTCACGGGTATTCTTTTTCTCATTTCTATCCAGCCGTCATCAAAACCTCATAGGGCATATAGAAGATTCTATTGTTCCATGGGAGGGTCCAGCACTGTTTCTAGATTATGTGTGCTTCGTATTTCTTTTTTTACACATTAAAATCGAAATATTGGCGAAAATCATATGCCGTCTCCGATGGCATAGTTTTGAATTCGGAGCATTTCATAAACCTGCAAGGGGTGATTCAAGCTAGAAGAATCAGAGTGGGGATGCGTGCCATACGGTATCACCGGTATGGCAGTATACCTCAAAAATATGTGTGAGCTAGGACAGACCAGCTAAAACACAAATTAACACATTGTACTTAGTCATCTAGGTAGATTTTGAGTTTCTTTGGAAGGCAATTTTAGCTGAGTTGACCAAAAATGAATAGCTATCGGTTAACCTTGTCATACACGCAGCTAAATGCCTAAGTTGGCATCTACATCCCTTAATCAACTACAAAACCTAAAGTCAATCAGCTTGAACCCTACTAGTATGTGAACCTTATGACAGCGGAGTCTGTCTCTCGGGTTTCATTTCGATCCCGATTCCAAAAGTATCACCGTGGCATTGGTATCACAATCTACCGCCAATGTTACACAAGCAATACAATCAAATAAACTCGGACATCCATGAAGCATGAACCATGTGGTTCTTAAGATTTCGGTTTGACTGGAGTTTTCCCACTCCTTGTATCTTACAATTCGCCCTACATTGTACTGTACCAGAAACCAAACTCTGATCACAGACATGACCGAGTACAGACACGTCAGACACTCAGAGCGATGGCAAAAAGAGGAGTTCCACTTCTCTGGTCCTATTATCAATAGGAGAATTTCGTTCCTAATAATGCTTTAGAAGCAGATGAAACAGAGCCAATAATTCCCGCATTCCTTGAAAAGCTCAGAGATGAACCGTTGATCTGGCAAAGACGCGTCTGTCTATACCCCTCCAGAAATGAACCACCGACTCGCACTCAGTACCAATTTTTCGAATATAATACGAGAAACTGGTGTGGAGATCATAGGAAATCTACCCGGGTTCACAATTACATAGCAGAAACCTTCAACAAGATCAACGAAGGATAGCCTGCGGTCAACTACCGCGCTAGGTGGAGTGACAAAACCTGATTGCCGCCGTCTCAATATAAAATTTCTCCGGAGATTAGAAAGTGGCAATATTCTCAATGTATGACATGTCATCAAGAAGCATCTGCCTGAAAATGTGATGATGTTGTTCTAGCCCTTAGACGCTTCGGTTTTAGGCGCTGAGTACGTAGGCAGAATCGGACACATAGACAACCACGTGGGAAATAGTCGCGCTCTATCAATAAGAGACAACGACACAACATTACAATATAGAACTCGAGGAATATCACGGAATCCGAAGGAACAATAAGATCGTTCGATAACACGATATTTACACTGTAAAGACCCGTCCCATCTCCAGAGGTAAATAAATCATTGTCTCCACAGCTGTTGCACGTAGGAGATGGCAAAAGAGTTCTTGAATTTGGTATTCGGAATCTGGAAGTTAGAATTTGGTCATCTCCTCTCAGTTCGAATAATCCCATGATCCTTTTCTTATGCCTATGAATAATATCGGCTCAATCGGGTTGGGTGGAATGAGAATTGTAAGATGGTCTTGAGGTCAAGATGTTAGTAATCTTGGTTGGTGGGAGGGATGCTATTTGCTATTATTACTATTTTTACACGCAAAATCGTCTTATCCCCTAGACCGTTGGTTGCGGCCGGCATATGTGGCCCGCGCACAAACAAGAACATTAATAACTTCATAAATTATATCAAATATAAAAACTATTGAATTGAAATTGAAGATTAGAATTTAATAAATTAGTAATAATTAAAAGGTTTATTATAGATTTATTTATTTTATTTCAAAAACAAAATTGATAGAAAGTTTTCAAATCCTATTATATTTCATATTCAAGATAATACAATCTACGATTTCAAGAGCTCTTGGATTGTAATACTTTTATTGGCTAATGAGGCATTATAAGTGGAACCCGGCCGTAACCAACGGTCTAGGGGATAGGTTTTACTGGCCGGCAGTGCGTAATGAATCAGTTCAGTAATCACTAAAAGAGAGAAAAAGAAACTTTCTTCAAACCAAACTATATCAACGTTCAGCTCCGATAACAATACGGTCCAACCCACCAAAGGCCAATGGCCACGCAATACAAGGATCCCGAGTCAGTAACTAATTTGTAACTTTTTCATAGGGTTACACTATATCCACCGCGCAATATTCATTTCTGTCTCACACAGCCTTGCATTTAATACCTTGACATCCAGCTCTGTGGTAGAATGATACTTGTCTACATACGTACTCGGTAAGGGTTCAGCCCCACAACTCCCTTTTCTCACTTGATTATAATTCGGGACTTTCCCTCACTCAAATCGTCTTGCTTATTTGCCCCTCT